TTATTGACTTCAATGAAGATATTTAAAAGAAGAAGGTGCTGTTCAATACCAGCCTGAATAGCAAGATGTTTTTTTTCATTAGTAGTTAAGAGACTATGTCCTATGATTAATTATTAAACAAAGCATACGAAAGCACTTCCATGAAGCACTGGCTTCCACAACAGATGCTGACAGACTTCATTGAAATGACTTCCATTTATGTTGATATTCTGTGATTAAAGAGACTGAAAAAAGTTATTCTCACACACTGAAATAAAGATATGTTATTCTACCAACCTTGAATTGCACACTAAACCAAAATATTGGTTTCACATTGCATCTTATTTTGTTTTGTGTAGCCAAGAGGGTTTAGTAAACATATTAACCGCTTCCTTGAGGAATAGAATTTATGTATATATTTAGTGTTTGACTGGATGAAAACATTCTTCAAGGAAATAACTGTCTAGACATGATGACAATAAACTCTTTATTACTGGGATGGCGGGAAAAGATGTTGCCCCCAGTAAGCAGGACTTCCCAAAAAAGTCATGAACTGTTTGCCTGGCTGTCATGTGCTTAAATAATTATTTCAAATATTCATTCTTCATAAGAAGTCTGCAGTATAATTTCCTGATGCGGAACACATCGATGGTTTATGGTTCCGTATGTTTTTTTTCCATGAACAAAGCTTTGTTCTGTTGTGAGGGCTGAAAGGTAGTTACACCCACCAATGCCCATCAATGGGGCAATGCCTCATCAGCCCCATACTTGTGTCATGGTATAATTCTGTAATTCTCACCACATGACCTGTGTGAAAAGGGATGATAGGCATACAGGAAATTAGCACAAAAATTGTTGCTAGTGGTAAAAAAATGCTGGTTACAATGCAATCAGTAGGGCCACTACTGCTCTCTGATGATTTGCCTGACTATGGTCAAGACACACTGCAGCTAAAAATTCGAGGGAGATCCTCCCATTACTAAGGCAGGAACAAATTTCTGATTGAAAAAAAATAGAATTTTTTTTTTTTTTTTTTTTTAATGAGAGCTTTAGTTTTACATTCCTTTCCTGGAAGTTGCTCCATCAAGATCAGCTCCTGTGCCTACACACTGCTTAAGCCTGGATCTGAAAAATCAAAACTAACTGAGTCAGATAATCAGAAAGGAAAACTCAGTATAAATAGAGAGCAAAAGTCACAATTTGGTTTCATGGTGCAAGCAATAGTGACAAATGGGTTACAACATTAATGTCACTTGGTAGAGATAAGAACTTGGGTTGGGATTTTTTAAACTAAGAGCTTCTTTATCTAGTGAAGTTGGGAGATGTTATCAAGAATATATCAGGCTATTTGTCTTAATTCAAAGCCTGCTGAAGGAAGTGTAAGGGGTTTTTCAGATGCTTATGGCTTTTGCATCAACTTTTTAATTTTATGTATGAGGTTTGAGGTGTGGCCTGATACACTGTACTGAGTTATTACTTGGAGTACTCTGAACGAGTCAGCCTTGTGGTTTCTGAGGAATGAGTTGTGCTTCTAGGAATTCAGCTTGGATCTCTGGGCCTGTAGATACTGCCTCTGAGGTGCATAGCCAGAACAATGGCTCAAGGAATAGGGAGTTTTACATAATGAGCTCCAAATCTGTGAGTTAGTTTTTACAGTTGTGAAGGAATTAGATATTAAAGGCAGAAGTTATAAAGTAAAAACAACAGATAACAATGTCACCATGGGAAGAGAAACAAGAAGCCTCATCTCACTTTTAAGTCTTTGGTGCTACTCAGCTGACAGTGGCTGTATCAAACACTTAGATAGTGGTATCTTGAGGAGAAAGAGCAGCAGTAGATTAAGTTTTCTTCATGGCATTCCAAATTCTTATGTGAGAACGTTTGCGTATTCCTTAAACGTGGGACTGTACAGACCCAAATCTGTGATTGTTTTTCTTCAAAGATAGGCTATGTTGTACATTTTGGAAAGGACAAATAATTTATTTGATTGGAAGTATTACCTCTGTACTATATAAACACACAAACAGCCAGGCAAACCATCTCCTTTCTCTAAAATATATTTTTAGCAACTGAATGCAGATATATGTATTCCTAATGTATATCGTGAGTGTAAATTAAGCATTCAAAAACAAGAAATTGCCACAAAAGCATTGTTTATACAAGCTTATTTAGTTGTCTTTGAAATATCATTCATCTGGCAGTATACAGTCAATTTTCCTTGAGATTCCCCTTTTATTTTGTTCATAGCATGGATTATGTTTTAGAAATGAAAGAAGATATAACAAAGGAGACTTATCTAAATCAAAAGTGTGTTTGTTGTCATTTTATATATAATTGTGTGTGTTTTGGGCCTTTAAGAGTCACAAGAAAACCTTTACACTTAAATGAAAAAAACTGAGAGAAAATTAGGAATCCTTACTGCAATTCTGGGAAGATTGACTTCAGTTCTGTACTGGTTATAAAGCTTTGTCTTGTCTTTCCAGACTCTCTCTTCCTCATTCCCTTCTATTCTGGCTCCTTGCTCCTATCAATACTTCATCTCCTGTTGGTATGCTGGTCTTTCCCAGCTCTACATGGTTGCTTCTGTCATGTTTCTATATCTCTAAACCCTGATAGTCGCCGTGAATCACCTCATCCCTTTCTGTTTCTCAGATCTATTCATCTGTCAGGTTGCCACTTCCTTCTTTTTACAGAAAAGATAGAGAAACTCCTGAGATAATTTCTCCTGCCTCTGTTTCAGGGACTAACACCAGAGAAGCTTCCAAGTTCCCAGTACAGTGCATTGGAGGTGAGGTCCCATTCTGTACCAGGAGTCTTAAGAAACATCAGTGAAATAATGCAAACAAATATGGCTTACAAAAATAATGAAGAGTCCTTTGCAGTGAAGCCACAGTCTGAGGGGAAATTTTATTAACTACTTCCTTAACAAGAAAGTTTTTTCCTACTGCACACCTGACTGTGAAGTCTTTACTTGTACAAACTTTTACAGCAACTTGTACAAATCCTTACAGTTCTTTCCCAAATAGTAACTGTAGGATGGATCCTATGCACAGGGCACAAGCAGACTACATGTTAACTGCATGCAGCTCCTACTGTCCCAAAAGCCTTTCACATCCTGTGTAAGATACTCCAGGAGAACAGCACTGTCACATGGGTCTCACTCTGTAAATATTAGAGAATAATTCATCCGTCAGTTATGTGGGCTCTCTTTCAAGAACTGTAACAAGTGGCATGGTTGATATTGAAACAAAAGAACAGTGACAGTTGGTTTTGTTTTTTTTTTTTTTAATGCAGAGCCATTATACTAGACAGCCATATCTAATTTTCTTTCTTTTCCTTTTATAGGCACTCTTTGTTACTCATCTCCATATTTCTTTCTTTTGCTTTATAGCAGAAGCAAAAATTCTGTCAGTTGACCTCATCTGGCCTTAAGTACACTCTAGTTCCTGGTATAGGAGTTTTTCTCCCTTTTTGCACATACTTACAGTGTCAGTCATTTAATTGGCTTTGTTTCATTCCTTTGCTTGCCCCTCCAGTTCTGTCATTTCAAATACTCACTCATGAATTATCCCCATTTCATCTCTTAAAAAATGCATCCATTTGGGATCTTTTGTCTATTTTCTCCTTTTGTCTCTGAAATAAATGTTCCAGTCACATTTTCAAGCTTTATTTCACAACAGTGAAAAGATAAGCTGAAATTCTTGCACAACCACTTGATCCAAGGAGCTTTAAGAATGCTGATTATGAAACTTGTGATAAAACTGTAAAAGTTGGCAATATGGAGATAGAGAGGAAGCTTATGTCTGCTTTGCCTTTTGATTATCAAACTGACTTTCATCCACACGTTGCAGATGTACCTGCTTCTCATCTGGTCTTTATACAGCTCCAAAGCTTAGCAATGAAGGGGAGAAACTTGGTACTGGATTACCTCTCAGAACAGGCTCAAGCTGTTCTGTACTTGGGTATGCCAAGCTTGGTGTGTGCCCTTACAGCCCCTCCACTTTTATGCCACCTTTAGCTGGCTGACATCACCCAGCACATGTCGGAAGGGAAATGGTAATTACAAGCAGGCTATAGATAGCCATGGAGTAGCACCTTATCAGTGCTACAAATATTTTCAACAGCTAAAATAACCCCAAGCAAACAAACCACAAAGACACCCAAGAATACATAAAGCTTTACCTCCTCTGCAGATGGAAAGCAGAATCGTGCCAGGCCTAGTCTGAGAGGACATCCTGAGCTCTGCCAGCACTTTAAAGAATGAGACTTGATCTATTCAATAAGCAATTTCAGAGCGCACGAGCTAAGAAAACTGGGATGCTGGCTGAAGTCTTGGAAAACACCCTAACCCTTCCTGAGGGATTGTGAGGAGGGCAACAGGTCACTCGTGGTTCCTGATCAGTGAACACCAGATGATTGAAGCCTGACACCAGCCCTCACTGACAGGCTGCTGCCTGAAGCACTTGGAGTTACACTGTGGTAAGGCTCCAAAAACATCGCCCCGAGTTCTCTAGGGCAACCAGTGACAGGACCCTTGGTAATGGCCTGAAGCTGTGTCAGAGGACGTTTAGGCTGGATATCAGGAAAAGGTTCTTCATCCAGAGGGTGGATGAGCACTGGAACATGCTCTGCAGAGAAGTGGTCACAGCACCAAGCCTGAGTTCAAGAAGCGTTTGGACAATGCTCTCAGACACATAGTGTGATTCTTGGGGATGTCCTGTGCCGGACTAAGAGTTGGACTCCATGATCCTTGTGGGCAGAATATTCTGCGATTCTGTGATTCTTCCAGTGCGCCTGGGGAGGAGCCTGGGCGCCAGGAAAACGCGAGCCTTCTCTTCCAGCGGGCCACCTGCAGGCCGGGTACCCTCCGCGGAGCGCTGTCCGGCCGCTCCCCGCCTCGGTAGGAAGCGGAAGGGCCGGCGGGGCCAGGAGCGGGCTGGGACCCGCCGGAACCGCCGCCGGGAACCCCGGAACACCCAATGGGCGCGGAGCCCCCCCGCGGGGCGGGCTGAGGCGGCGGGGCCGGAGCGGGGCCGGGCTGGGCCGGGGCGATGCTGCTGCGCCTGGTGCCCGAGTTCGAGCTGCGGAGGGACGTGGTGCCCTGGCTGGCGGCGCAGGGCTGGGCCGCGGCTCTAGGTAACGCTCCCGGGAGTTTAGGAGAGCCCCATCCCTCCCTCCTTCCCTCCCTCTCTCCCTCCGGGCGCTCCCGGCCGCCTCCGTGCGGGAGGAGCCGGGCTGCGGCGGGACCCCCGTCCGGGAGCGACCCCTGGGTGCCGGGGGACTCGAGGTGGGCGAGTTTGGTGTCCTCCGGGAATTTCTCACATGCGGAAAACACTTCTAACACGCCTGCTGCACTCCACAGCTTGTTTCTTTCTCCTGCTTCTTCACACATTTGGGACTTTTTCTTTTTTCCCCCCTCCCCTCCCAAAACAAACAAACAAAAGTTTTAG